ATGGATGGATGGATGGAGAAATAGATGGATGGATGGAGAGATGGATAGATGGATGGATGGAGGGAGGGATGGATGGAGAGATGGATAAATGGAGGGAGGGAGGGATGGATGGATGGAGAGATGGATAGATGGATGGATAAATGGATGGATGGATAAATGGATGGAGGGATGGATAGATGGATTGATGGATGGATCGATGGATGGATGGATGGATGGATGGATGCACGGATAGATTGATGGAGGGATAGATGGGCACGGATGGATGGATGGATGGATGGATAAATGGATGGATGCATGGATGGATGCATGGATGGATGAATGAATGGATGGATGGATGAATGGATGGATTGATAAATGGATGGATGGATAAATGGATGGATAGATAAATGGATGGATAGATAAATGGGTGGATGGATGGATGGATAAATGGTTGGATGGATGGATAGATGGAGATATGGATGGATGGATTGAGATATCAATGGATGGATGGATAGATAGATGGATGGAGATATGGATGGATAGACGGATGGTTGGATGCATGGATGGATAGATGGACGGACGGATGGATAGATGGATGGATGGATGGATGGACGGACGGATGGATAGACGGACGGATGGATGGATAGATAGATGGTTGGAGGGATGGATAGATGGACACATGTGAGGTATTGCTGCGAACTTCAAAATGAGAGCAATAATTTTAGCATCATAGCTCAACTCTAAACTGATGAATAGTAAAGGTTTTAACGCATTGCCTAGGGAAATTTTTGGGTACCATAGATACCCCCTTATGTATTATACATGGAGATCATATCCCCCCTTATGTATTATACATGGAGATCATATCCCCCCTTATGTATTATACATGGAGATCATATCCCCCCTTATGTATTATACATGGAGATCATATCCCCCCCTTATGTATTATACATGAAGATCATATCCCCCTTATGTATTATACATGGAGATCATATCCCCCCTTATGTATTATACATGGTGATCATATCCCCCCTTATGTATTATACATGGAGATCATATCCCCCCTTATGTATTATACATGGAGATCATATCCCCCCTTATGTATTATACATGGTGATCATATCCCCCTTATGTATTATACATGAAGATCATATCCCCCTTATGTATTCTACATGGTGATCATATCCCCCCCCCCCTTATGTATTCTACATGGTGATCATATCCCCCCCCTTATGTATGTATTCTACATGGGGATCATATCCCCCCCTTATGTATTCTACATGGGGATCATATCCCCCCCTTATGTATTATACATGGTGATCATATCCCCCCCTTATGTATTATACATGGAGATCATATCCCCCCCTTATGTATTATACATGGAGATCATATCCCCCCTTATGTATTATACATGGAGATCATATCCCCCTTATGTATTATACATGGAGATCATATCCCCCATTATGTATTATACATGGAGATCATATCCCCCCCCCACTTATGTATTATACATGGAGATCATATCCCCCCCCTTATGTATTATACATGGAGATCATATCCCCCCTTATGTATTATACATGGAGATCATATCCCCCCCTTATGTATTATACATGGAGATCATATCCCCCCTTATGTATTATACATGGAGATCATATCCCCCCTTATGTATTATACATGGAGATCATATCCCCCCCTTATGTATTATACATGAGATCATATCCCCCCTTATGTATTATACATGGAGATCATATCCCCCCCTTATGTATTATACATGGAGATCATATCCCCCCTTATGTATTATACATGGAGATCATATCCCCCCCTTATGTATTATACATGGAGATCATATCCCCCCTTATGTATTATACATGGTGATCATATCCCCCCTTATGTATTATACATGGAGATCATATCCCCCCTTATGTATTATACATGGGGATCATATCCCCCCCTTATGTATTATACATGGAGATCATATCCCCCCTTATGTATTATACATGGTGATCATATCCCCCCTTATGTATTATACATGGAGATCATATCCCCCTTAATCTCCTCTCCTCAAGAGAGAATAAATTCAGTTCCTCTAATCTTTCCTCATAGCTGAGCTCCTCCATGCCTCTTATCAGTTTGGTTGCTCTTCTCTGTAGTTTCTCCAGTTCCCTAATGTTCTTTTTGTGAATTGGTGCCCAAAACTGAACTGCATATTCCAGATGAGGTCTTACTAATGATTTGTACCCGGGGGGGGGAATGATATCTCCCTCTCTCTGGAGTCTATACCTCTCCTAATACAAGAGAGGATTTTGCTCGCTTTAGAACCCGCAGCTTGGCATTGCTGCCATTATTAGGCTTGTGATCTACCAGAACCCCCAGATCCTTCTCCACCATTGACCCCCCCCCACCACCCCCCCCCCCAGTATGTATGATACATGCATATTCTTAGCCCCCAAGTGCAGAACCTTACATTTATCACCATTAAACCTCATTTTCCCCATAGTCCCCCAATTACACAGAGCATGGAGGTCGGCTTGTAACTTGGAGACATCCTGTAAGGACAGCTTGGTGTCCTCTGCAGAGACTGAAGCATGATGCAACAATGGCCAATGGTTACCCCTAAATGAAAAGGTTTTTTTTTTTTGAGTATGTAATAAATCCCAGAAGCATCACATTCAGGAAATCATTGTTATGTCACAGAAAAAAATCATGTATGCTCATTACCTAAACCCATTGATTAGAGTTGTGTTAATTAATCCCCGGAGCCAAAGGTGTAAAATAATTGGCATCATTTTATCTCCAGAAACAAGCCCTCCGGCCCTCTGGACATTGCCCTGTATTGTGTTTCCAGGTCTACATATGTAAGGTCTGCTTGAATGGAGATACCGAATGTTTTCAGCTCATCGATTAAACAAACTCCAGTTAGAGTATAAATTATACTTTAATGGTTATTATTTTGTTAAACATGGTAAACAGCTGCTTTTAAAATAAAATCATAATGTTTTTATATATTTTTTTCATCCTTTGTTGCATGTCTCATGCAACCTCTTTGCAGTGACTTCACATTTATTCTAACCGTTCTAACAATCGGGACCCGGGACTCCCGAGTCCGGGTCACATGATTGCTGTGATAGCCTCTCATTGGCTATCACAGTGATCAGTCACTGTACAGCCCGGCCTCCTTGTTTTTTTTTTCTCTCTCTATGAATGGAGGAGAGAGATACATTGTATCTCTCTAAGTTTGTAAAAAAAAAAAAAGAGATAAATAAATTAATATTAAAAAATATCTAGATCAAGGTTTGATCTAGTTCAGTGCCAGGGTTAGTGTTTGGGTCAGGGTCAAAGATCAGGATTTAAAAAAAAAAAATTGGTATCAGTGTCAGTTAGTGTCAATGTCAGTGTGTTTTAGGTAAAAAAAAAAAGACAAAAACAAAATGCGCACTATTGTTTCTGGGCTGTACTACGGGTTCAAACAACAAATAACATACACATATATGATATCGCTGCGATCGTCAAGAGCTGGAGAATTTATTTTCAGTTGTTTTTTTTGGGTAGGTTATGGTAGTAACAAGAAACGCATGGAGAAACACAGCTAAATAAAAAATGATTTTTTTTTTACTATTTTGGGGCAGTTTTCCTTTGATAATAAACAAAAAATCAGAAGATATCCAATACCATTTACCACCAAATGAAAGCCCAATTTGTCCTGAAAAAAAAAACAAGGTATAATTCACCTGGATGTACAAAGTAGTTGTGATGATGTGTACAGTTTTACTATCACATGTCAACGTTGCAAAATTGTGCTTAGGCATTTAGATTTGTTTTACCCTTAGGCGTGAAGGTGTTAATGGAAAATCCAAAAGTTAGATGTCCATGGCCAAATATATGTGGCTGCTTAGCAGTAGAAGTGCAACTTTTTCCAAAGCTGCACTGAAGCCCAAAATTAATAGTTCCTTATGTTAATTTTTTTTAATAGTCATGTCTCCATTGGCCATTGGTCTTCATTGGCCCATAAAGTAATTAAGACATCATCGGTGGTATTGAGGGTAATAACAGTGCCCGACTCTAATGGTGCATTATAATAAGGGCAGAAAAGGTGGCTGCCCAGGGCCTCAGACTCCAGACTGGGCCAGGACTTCAGACTCCAGAGGAGTCCATGGGAACCCTTATAAAGCTGCTTGACAAAATCTTGTGCCTCCTGTCTTCTCCTTTCTGCTTTGGTCAGCAGGACAGGCTAGCAAGTCTATGATACGCTATGGAGTATTTGGAAGATTTGCTGTTCTGAGGGCCATTGGAGTGTGCATGTACCTCTAAAGACTACTGGTAGATGTAGACAATGAATAAATGAACAGTTTGTTGGTGCTGCTCACAAGTGGGTTTGGATACCACATAATTCAATAGGCTTCTTTTTGGGTCGCTAATTCGGGGGCTGTAATGGCAGCCTCATACATCTCTCATTGCCTGTGTCCCCTATCATGCGCTTTTTATTTGCTGACTCCTATGTCATCACTGTGTCCTGTATTGGTGTAGGGGTTGGTGGGATAAACCATAGATCACTCCAGGAGACCAGACATCTGACACACCTGGAAGTGAAGATGTTTCAGGTGGTCATAGATCACAGGACAGGTGAGTATGAACCCTTTCCTTTGTCGCTGAGATAAAACAATGCCAAAAATTACATCCTCAGAGTTGCTTGAAGCATTAAGCTAAGATGGATAGATAGAGCTAAGTGTTAAGGATAGGTGATACAGGGACTGGAAACAAAATTGGTATTTGCTCTTCATACCAAAAGCCCCTTACTGCAATGTATTACTCCAGCTTCCATGAGTCAAAATCTAACATAGAGAGCAGGGGCAGACTGACAACTCATGGGGCCCCTGTGTCCTTGCCCAAGCTCAAAAAAGCCTATGAAAAAGGTACAAGGGGCATCTCATGGGGCCCCCTACTGACCCCGGGCCCTTGGGCAGTGCCCAAGTTTCCAAATGGTCAGTCGCCCCTGATAGAGAGTACTAAAGCATATGAAAATATCAGTAAGTCATGAAATAAAATCTCTGGAAATATTTTCTCAAAGCCCCTTTGACTTCTTTGTTCCTCAGGCAGTATATTATTGGGTTTACGACTGGTGTCAGAATGCTGTACAAGAGAGATGCTAAATTTTCTAGCTCAATGGAGTAACCTGTTGGTCCAATATAGTGAAGAATACCTGTGCCATAAAATACTGTGACCACAGTGAGATGGGAGGAGCAGGTAGAAAAGGCCTTGGATCGTCCTTCAGAAGACTTGATCTTCATGATGGTGGAGATGATGTGGACGTAGGTTATAACAATATAAAGAAATGGGGTGAAGGCAAGGAACACGCTGATGAACGTATAATAATATTTTGCTGGTCTTGGTGGGGTTACAGGCTACTTGTACCAATGGTGGAACATCGCAATAAAAATGATTTATACTCTCTTCCAGATGACAGAATGTAAGTTTGGAAGCTGTGACCGTATGAAGGATAGAGTTGAGGAACCCACTCAACCATGATGTAACTGCAAGACCGGCACAAAGTCTCATTTGCATGACCACCGGATAGCGTAATGGGTTGCATATGGCAACAAAACGGTCATACGCCATCACAGCCAAAAGAATACACTCAGCTCCACCTAGAGAGATGAACAGATACAACTGTGCAATACAATTGACAAAGGAAATCCTTTTGTTGCCTGTCGCAGAATTGAATATAATTATCGGGAGAGTGGTGGAGGAGTAACAAATGTCCAACACAGAGAGATTACTAAGGAAAAAATACATTGGTGTGTGCAGATGTGCTTCAACCCTAATGATGATAAAAATGCAGAAATTGCCAATCAGGATAGAGCAATAAATGAGAGATAATAAAAAGGCGATGATGAAGAACCAACCATTGAAAAAATTCAACAACAAAATATTCTTCACCATTGTCTGGTTCTCGTGCATTGCAGTAAAGGGCATCTAAAACAAAAAAGTCACCCATTAAAGGATGTATTTCAATAAAAAAAAATCTGTAGTAGATAACATAGTGTCATCTGACATAACAATATTATTTTCTTTAGGCAGGCATGTGGGACCCAGGCCAAACTTTTGGCCAAATTTTCCCCATTTGCCAACACCCTATTGATTAAAAGTTCATCACCTCTACCTTCCCCATGTATTCCCCAGCTCTGTGTGCCCGCCCTACATACATCCAATAGGTGATCTTATCCCGATGACACACAATAGAAGTATATAAAAAACAGCCTAAAAAAGGAAAAAAAAAACATTTTCAAATGATAGTAAGAAAAGACCATTGTAACTATCAAGCTTCTTGGTGCCCCTCCATCATAGTTGAGGTTGAATTTTTCTAACATAATCACATTACGTATTTTTAATAATGACTATAACTATCTTGGTTCAGATGAAAGTAATTCTAAACCCAATCACTAAAATATTTCTAAACTTTAATACATTAATGTGATCTCAAATATTTTGAAATAAATAAATTATTAAAACAATAGTGATCCTGCCATGAAGGTCTTTGTTTATTCAATTCCTCTTATAGGGTGACACCGCTCTGTCCCTATCTCCAAAGTGTGCTCCTATGTTGTCCCGTGTTACAATGCACCCCTGGTTGAGACTACAAGCACCTGATTTCAAATATTTTTAAGTAAATAAATTATTAAAACAATAGTGATCCTGCCAAGAAGGTCTTTGATTAGGCAATTCCTCTTATAGGGTGACAACGCTTTGTCCCTATCTCCAAAGTGTGCTCCTATGTTGTCCAGTGTTACATGCACCCCTGGTTGAGACTACAAGCACCTGATCTCAAATATTTTTAAGTAAATAAGTAATTTAAACAATAGTGATCCTGCCATGAAGGCCTTTGACTAGGCTATTCCTCTTATAGGGTGACAACGCTCTGTCCCTATCTTCAAAAGTGTGCTCCTATGTTGTCCCATGTTACATGCACCCCTGGTTGAGACTACAAGCACCTGATCCCAAATATTTTTAAGTAAACAAGTTATTAAAACAATAGTCATCCTGTCATGAAGGTCTTTGATTAGGCAATTCCTCTTATAGGGTGACAACGCTTTGTCCCTATCTCCAAAGTGTGCTCCTATGTTGTCCCGTGCTACATGCACCCCTGGTTGAGACTACAAATGCCTGTACCGACACACATTGCTTGGGCATGGTCCACTATTGGCACTGTTAAGAGGCCAATCCAGAATGAGGATGTACAATGCTGCTGTTGTGTGTGTGAAGACAGAAAGTGGCTGAATGAGGCTGGAGAAGATCGTTGGCACTGAGAGGAAAAAAAAAAAGAAAAAAATGTGAGTCTAAAGTGGATTTCCAGTCAAACCCTAACTAAGCCTAAACCTACTCCCACCCCCATTCTAAGCCCTGTAAATTAAAAATGTCTACTCTGAAACCCTTCTGGTCGCATGATTAGGTCCCAACGTGGGCTTTAGTGTAGGGGAAGAGAGCAGCAACATCGGCTACAGAGCCCGAGAGCTGAGCTCACCCATAGACTTACTATTGTTGGCTGTCCCTCATCTACACTGAAGTCGGTGCTGGGACCCAATCATGAGACCGGACCAGAGCGACTTCAGAATAGGTAAGTATATGCATCTTTTCTTTTAATGGGCAGACAGAATAATCATAGAATGGGGGGTGGAGTAGGTTTAGGCTTAGTTAGAATTTGACTAGAATTACACTTTAACGAAAAAAGTGGAAATTGTTTGATACATAGTTAGTCTGGCTGAAAAAAAGACAAAAGTCCACCCAGTTCAACCATTTCTAAGAAAAAAAAAAAAAAAAAAAAAAAAAAAAAAAAGTTATAATCCTATACCCACAGTTGATCCAGAGGAAGGCAGGGCTCTAGCAAACTAAATGATATCCACTTAGGGTTTAGATCTACTTGAAGCTTAGACATGGTACACCAGGAAAGTGCATGCTCAGAGGCGGACTGACCAATTGAGCACTCAGGCACTGCCCGAGGGCCCGGGGTCAGTAGGGGGCCCCATGAAATTCCCCTGTTACCTTTCATTGGCTTTTTTTGGGTGTGGGCGAGGACACAGGGTCCCCATGATCCCCTATTGCCCGGGGGCCCCATGAGTTGTCAGTCCACCCCTGGGCATGCTCAATACTGTACTATATTTAAAGTGATATTAAAGGCAATATTAAAAACAACAACAAACATGTTATACTTACCTGCTGTATGTAATGGTTTTGCACAGATCAGCCCCGATCCTCCTCTTCTCAGGTCCCTTGCTGGTGCTCCTGGCCCCTCCCTCCTGTCAACTGCTCCCACAGCAAGCAGCTTGCTATGGGGGGAACCCGAGCAGGAGCGCTCCCGAGCCGCTGCTCTGTGTGTCCATTCACACAAAGAGCCTCGACTTGGCCCCACCCCTCTCTCTCTTTTCATTGGCTCACTGGCTGTGATTGTCAATTGCCAATGGCTCCCGCTGCTGTCTCAGCCAATAAGGAGGGAGAGTCCCCATAGAGCTGAGGCTCTCACGGACATTGCTGGGTCGCAATGGGGCTCAGATAGGTATTAGGTGGGGCTAGGGGCTGTGGCAAAAAATGTTTTTTACCCTCATGCATAAAATGCATGAAGGTAAAAAAACCTTCAGCCTTTACAACTACTTTCATACAGATATCAAAGCTGGCCATTGAAATCTCAAGTGAAAATCATGTAAATTCAAATTAGATGAAACTATCACCATGCTTTGGCACAAAATGCTATCGTAACAGTATAAGTAAAAAACAAAATGACAAACCTTTAAAAAAAAAATGCTGAATTTTATAGGGTTCCAATGCCTTTAACAGTCAGGTACGTGTACAGGTTTACAGTTTTTGTCTCCTTAGCTTTTGTTGCTGTGTTTGCTGAACTGCGAAAGAAAACATTTTAAGACTCCTATTTTTATAATAAACATGGTGTCCCCACTGCAGAGTATAGAGTTTGTGCAAAGTATAACCTTTTAAAGTAACATACTGAACAGCTATTAGCCTGAGTTCACAAATATGCGGTATATGGCATGTAATTCGCACAGGAACCACACCGCACTCCTGTGCAAATTACATGATTTTTATGCGGTGCAATTGTAGCCATACATTTTGTATGGCTCTAACCGCACCGCACCTGCACCAAGCAATCCACTGAGCTGGCCAGAACCAACTCTTGAGGGAGTCTATTCCACATTTTCAAAGCTCTTTCTGTGAAGAAACCTTTCCGTGTTTGGAGATTAAATTTTTTTTCCTCCAGACGTAAAGAGCGCCCCTTTGTCCTCTGTGATGACCTCAGGGTGAAAAGCTCTACACCGAGTTCACTATATGAACCACTGATGTATTTATACATGGAGATCATATCCCCCCTTATGTATTATACATGGAGATCATATCCCCCCTTATGTATAATACATGGAGATCATATCCCCCCTTATGTATTATACATGGTGATCATATCCCCCCTTATGTATTTATACGTGGAGATCATATCCCCCCTTATGTATTATACATGGAGATCATATCCCCCCTTATGTATTTATACGTGGAGATCATATCCCCCCTTATGTATTATACATGGAGATCATATCCCCCTTATGTATTATACATGGAGATCATATCCCCCCTTATGTATTATACATGGAGATCATATCCCCCTTATGTATTATACATGGAGATCATATCCCCCCTTATGTATTATACATGGTGATCATATCCCCCCTTATGTATTATACATGGTGATCATATCCCCCCTTATGTATTATACATGGAGATCATATCCCCCCCCTTATATATTATACATGGAGATCATATCCCCCCTTATGTATTATACATGGAGATCATATCCCCCCTTATGTATTATACATGGAGATCATACCCCCCCTTATGTATTATACATGGAGATCATATCCCCCCTTATGTATTTATACGTGGAGATCATATCCCCCCTTATGTATTATACATGGAGATCATATCCCCCTTATGTATTATACATGGAGATCATATCCCCCCCCCCTTATGTATTATACATGGAGATCATATCCCCCCTTATGTATTATACATGGAGATCATATCCCCCCTTATGTATTATACATGGTGATCATATCCCCCCTTATGTATTATACATGGTGATCATATCCCCCCTTATGTATTATAC